TGTCAAGATTCATTTTTCATCAAAACATGCCAAATCATGAAACTTGTTCATAAAGAAATCAATAATTGCAAATTAGGGTTTGAAATGAAGATTTTTCATAACTTAGAATTTTTCTAAGTTATGAAAAACCCTAATTTTTCCCTAACTTTGTCCCACTTTCTCACCAAGATTCATTTGGATTCAAGGAAAAGTCAAAACATGAAAGTTGTAGTCCATTGAAAAATATACAACTTTTATTCACAAAGTTTCCTCAAAAGAAGCTTGTAGCTCAAGATAACAATTTTGGAACAAGGGTACTAAACCATTCTTAACTTAGAGAAATTTGACCTATTTTTAGGCAGGATTTTTGCCTAACTTCAAGACCAATATTCACATACTTCCACTTGGAATTTCAATTTGAATTTCAAAGATGGATTGTATTACACATTCCAAGCTTTCCAAAATGTCCAAGAACTCATCAAACAACCTCATGGTTAGGGAGAATCGAATTTGGCAAGTTGGGAAAAATTACTTTGTTTATGGCCAAGTTACATGTTCATACATCTAGGCCATTTTGAAATCATCTTGCATTCTTTGATTACAGGTCCTATATCTCATTTGCACTCAATAATTTAATGCATATCCCTTGTGCCAAGACCTTATTTTGTATGTCCAAACATTATATGCAAGATTAAGCCATTTTTAGATAAAGCATTTTTTCCATTTTTGAAAAGAAGTGCTTTATGTCAATTTGTAAATCAAGAAGGTACAAAGAAAATCTCTGAGGCACAAGTTATTAGACTAATCCCACTGATTAAGGAGGGATTATGCAGCATGCTAGAGGGGCCTGTACAAGCCTAAAACACCAACTTGCCATTTCTCGCTTAAGTTAGAAGTAACTTGGCATAACAACACACAACTCTCATTCCTGTGAACCAGAGCTTAAGCAAAGTTATCAAACACTTTCTAATCATCAAACCTAAGCTGAAACACAAGCCAACCAAGTTCTACACCTTCTCAAACACAGAATCACCCTAAAACTGCCAAAACAGGGGACCTGCTGCAGATTGAGTTCCATAACTCAATCCATTCGTGCATTCTTGCTGAAACCACTTCAAACACATCCCACATCATCCCTTGAAACTGTTCCAAGCCCTAAACACGACCTGTAACATCCCTAGCTAACATCACCATTTTCATTTTTCTGTTTTGCAGTTGAAGTACCATAGCACGATTCTTTTGGTTTCCAAGCAAATTAAAGGTTGGAATAGCATCCTGAGACATCAAGGAAGCTATACAAATCATTACCTTGCCTTGTACTCATCTCCATTGTTGCACACGATTCCAACTGAACAGGTAAGTTCATGAACTTGTATCTCTCTATCCAGGCATTGTTAGGTTTAGATTTGTGAAGAAATTATGTCACATTCATAGCCCTGAACATGCCCATATAATTAGTTTTCATTTATGTTATGTGTGCTATGAGAATTTGATGTCTGAACATGGAACAAAAACTAGGTCAGGAATTGGGGGAGAAGAAATTCTCTCTCATTTCTGAGAGTTAGATTGATTTCTTTATATGTCTAGAATCGTGGCTTCAAGCTCTACAGGTTTCATCTTGGAAGATTTGGCAAAAGATCAAGGAATCTGGAGATAGCAAACGCGTGTTTTCTTGAACAGAAATGCTGGAGGTTGAAGATGACAGGGTCTTTGGGCTGGGCCTGTTTCACTTTTCTTATTTGCACCCTATGTTTACTTTTGAACCCCCTTGGCCCATTGTGCTTATTTGAGACATTTTCTTGACTTTTCTTTTTATTTCTGACTTATTTATTTTTTCTCATAATATTAAAAATATAAAAAATATTTTTCACACCATTTTTTAATTTATTAGGCATTTATTTGTTTAGAATAATGTTTGTACATAAATAAATACCTAGATATACTTTTATTTAAAAAATACTAAAAAATAATGCAAACACATTTATTTTCTAATTTTTATTTTATTTTATCTTCTGAAAATATTTTATATAAAATATTCTTTTTTTATAAATATTAAATATTATTATTTTTATACATATTCAATATATTTAATAATACAAATACATATATATTTATTAGTATATTTAGGTTAAAAAAATACAAAATATATACATTTTTATTTTTATTAATATTTAACATTAAAAATACCTTTTTGACAAATATACTTCTCTTTTATTTATTTTTTTAAAATAATTAATAAATATTGCACATATTAAATGATAAATACCTTTTATTTATAAAATTAGGGTTTTGACCTAAATGCATAAAAATACCAAAAATTGATTAATTTTATTTTTGTTTATTTGACACATAAAAATACTTTTTTCATACATATACAAAACATGTTTGCATCTTGCATATTTATTATATTTTTATTTAATTGTTGTATATTAAATAATTTGTACAATTCAATTTTGATGTAATAGTTAGGTTTAAATTCCTTGTCAAAATACCCCCATTTGAACATTTGTATCCCCTTTCCCATATATTGTGTTGTAATAGCTTAGGAACTTTATTTTTTTGCATTTTAAAGCTTTCTAAATATACCATGCTAGAATTAGGGTTTGTATGTCAATCAATTAACCAAAAATAGCTTGACCTAAATTCAAGATAAACAAGCATGAAAATAGACAACACCAATCACACTTGCACCCCTAGGATATTCCACTTGTTGCCTTCAATAATGGGCCATATTGCATGTTAGGTCTCTTTGGGCAAAACAAATACAATTCCAATGATCATAGTCCCTCGATGACTCTTTCAAAAGTTGCCTAAAAAATGATCAAGTCCCTTAAAGAAAAATTGCCCAAAGATACTTGGCACCATTGCAATTATGGTCTAAACGATGACCCGCGCCCGTCCCTTTCACATCCTAACACAAGATTGTCCACCAAATGCAATGGTGGAACAAAATTGTTAAAAGGGTTAAAAACATAGGAGAAATCTTTGAGAAATTTAGGAGTAGACAAACTCTTAGTTACTTGAATCAAACTTGCAAAACAAAACACTTGCCTATTTTTCAAACCACACATCAATACATTTTCAAAACAACTTTAAAAAAAACATTGAAAACCTTTTCAAAAGACATACACCTTTGTATACATCCCAACATGGATCATTACAAAGGTTGCCACCACATTGGCCTCTTTTCAAAACTTTTTTAAACCCACACACACAAAGCACCATTTCAAACAATTGAAAAGTAAGGCAAGTTGATCTAAGCAAGTAACTAAGAGCCCATGGATAACCATGGATAGAAAGGGTGTTAATACCTTCCCTTTCTATAATCTACTCCCCGAACCCAAGAAAACATCTCAAAGGTTTTTGTTGTGCTTTTTAACCTTTCCTTAGGATAAAATAAAAAGTCGGTGGCGACTCTTGCTCAACCTAAACATTTGCGAATAAAAAACGCAAAACCTCAAGTCAGTTCTCCCACCGTATCACAGTTAGCTTCAGGGAAGATCAAGGAAGGTGTATTGATAGAAAAATTAGATTGAAAAAGGCTTGAATACTGATTACGAAGTAACATAAAATTGAGTTATGGAGCAAGTTTGGCAGAGTGATTCTGTTTATCCAAGCTTGAGAAAATGAATGGGATAGTTCATGTATTTATAGGAGAAGCAAATTAGATCAAAAGGAAGAGTGAATGATGCATTTTGGAGGGAATTCGTGCAAACCTGATGCACGAGTGAAGTGTGATCTTATTTTCACCAAAACTCATCCAATCTTTGCGTTTTGAGGTGCTAAACACTTCTGGAAAGTTTTTTAATCAAGTTTAAATAAAAAACGCGCATAAACCTTGTGATTAGAGGCCACATTATGGATTTCAAAATTCTGACTTGGTGAGAAATTCAGTTCCAAGTTACCAATTTCAAAACAATGGCATTTTCAACTCAAGGGGTCTTAGGGCATGACTCTTGATGCTTTAGAAGGATGAGGTTACAAGCTTTGAAATGAAAAAATAATGGAGTTAAATGGATGCTTGAGCTGAAAGTTGCATTGAGTACAAGTTGGGGGAAAAGGGTTGACTTTCCATACTTAGAAATATTTCAAATTTTTCTTCAAAAGTGACCTATAATGTCTTGCATTCAAACATGGCCTTCCACTTGGAATTTTCTCTTGACCAAAAAATATGGCATGAAATAGACCTCTTGAATGACATTTTGAAACTCGAACCATTCAAAATCTCCAAAAATTGAGAGAGTTATGAATTGTTGAAGTTGGCAAAAAAATCATGAAATGACCTATAATCTTTTGTATCCTTAGGGAATCTTCCATCCATTTTCTCACTTTGCAAATAAAATAAGGAATAAAGTTCACATCCTAAAGACAATTATGGAAAAAGAGTGAGCTAAAAGTGATAAAAATTGACCAAGTTATGATCATTTTAAGTCACACATGAGAAAATGAGGGTTCATCTAGAGGACTTGTAATTTTTCTTCATCGTCAAGTTTCTTCCACATGAAAAATCCTTGAAACTTTTGAAGTGATTTGTTAATAACCATTTGAAGAGAAGGATGTCTTTGGAATCACTCAAAAATAACAAAATATGAGCAAGATATACTTATTTAAAGTTCAAAACCCTAGCTCCTAAATCAAGAAAATGCTTTGAGGAATTTTGACAATTTTGAACAACCTTCTTGTACCAAAACTCTTGCTTTGTAAATAGAAGTTATTGAGGATGATAATGAGAAATCATAGCCACAAAAACCACTTCCATATCTTGAGAATTTAGAGAAATATGCACTTGTGATCAATGGGAACAAGACATTGTCCAATCGTGACAACTTCTTCCATCAACCCCTTGTACCTTTGAATCAATTTGATAACTTTGAAATGTGATGAACCCAAAGTAAACCTTGCCATGCCATTTCTTCCAAAAACAACTTCAATGGCGAGGTTTGTAGTTCTCAAGCTTTATTGACTAGGGCATGGAAATAAACTCATAAACCCATGGATCAATTTTCTAAGCCACACTGCATTTACCTACATTATTAACAAGTAAGACCATCCAACATTGAATTTTATTAATTAGAAATAAAATCAAGACAAAATATCCATGATCACAAAATAAAACAAGTCAAGGTGCTTGGTGATTCCTCAAAGAGCAAAACTAAAGATAGGGTGAAGAACCAAAAGCCCTAATGTCATCTTGTTGTGATTGAATCAACATGGTATGATGAAGGAATCTTAGGGGGAAAATTTGGGGTACAACACATATGATCCACCATGTCAGTAGAATTTTCTAACAGCACCCCCACCCACATTGCAACTTTCTCTCAAACTAATCTGGAGAATTGTCAAACAATCAGAAGATGGTTTTAAGACTCGGTTGTAAGAAAACAGAAAACACAAACCTTATCTCTATCATTAGTGAGGATACCTCTCCTTTCCAATCGCCACCTTTTAGGTAACCTATCACAAATATCCCTCCAACTGAAAACATGGATTTTAGAATGAACTAATGTTTTTCATAGAATATGCAGTGCTGCCATATTAACCGTACCCTGAGGGTCCTCTTTGCAAGCATTTGAGAAAACTTCATAGCTAGAAAAAACCAAATATTCCCCAACAGGATTCTTGAACCATTTATACTTATCTTACATCCCTACCTTCGGAACAACTTCCAACAGAATAGCTTCCAATTCCACTAGTTGTATTAGTGTTGAACCCAATACCGCCCCCCTGATTCTCCACCAACGACCATCTCCATTGATCACCTACCAAACCCTTCGTATCCTCCACTGAAGCATCCAGATTGGTAGACAACTCAAACAAATCTGGGAATACTATCACCAATGGGGCGCCTTAAATCCACCTATTTTTCCAAAACCTTATAGAATTTCTCGAACCTAAAACGCACGAAACACCTCCCCTAAACCAATCTTCTACTGCTGGTTGATTCCTAATTGGGATAATATCCCGCCACCACAAGTAAGACTTGCAATTTTCCATAACAAGGATATCACAAATCACTGCACAATCCAAACTATTGTGCCTAAAAACCAAGAGAAGTCTCCATAATTCTTCTGCATCCACCAGAAAATGCTACTTCCACTTACACATTAGAGCCTCATTGAAGGCCTCAATGCCCCTAATTTCTAACCCACCCTCCTCCTTAGTTACCCTACTGCCTATAGATACAAAATTTCCCTTCCATACAGATAACCTATTCTTCATATTATTGATCACCGATTTCCACACTGCTTTAGTCATATGGTTCGCCCCAACTTGAACACCAAGGAAAGAAAAAGGAACCGTGCTTGTACCACAACAGAGAAACATTAACACTCCATGAGTAAAAACCTCATTAACATTAATGCAAATCAAGCTGCTCTTGCACATGTTTACATTTAGCCCCGAAACAAGTTTGAAGCCTCTAAGAAACACCTTAACACACCATAAATTCCTCTAGGTTGGCTCACACAGTAGAACAGTGTCGTCCACAAATTGCAGAAGCTGAAACTCCAAAGAAGGACTTAACTTGAAGCCTGATAATGCCCCTATCTCCAGCGCCCATTTGATCATCAACTCTAGACCCTCCGCCACCAGTGTGAATAGGAAAAGGGACAATGGGTCGCCATGACGAAATCCTTTCCCCATTGAGAAATAAATAGTGGGACTCTCATTTATGAGGACTGGGAGTGAGGCGTTGCACACATAAGATTCGATCCACCTTAACCATCTCCCACCGAAACCAAACCTCCTTAAGATGTACAACAAGAATTTCCAATTAACATTATCATAGGATTTTTCGAAGTCTACTTTTAATATCAAACATTTATTCTCAAACCTCTTTTCATAATCAATTAATTCATTTAACACTACAACTCCATCTTGAATTTTCCTCCCTGGGATAAAATTCGTTTATGATTTAGATACTAATTTCCCCCATTTCCCTCTTTAATCGATTATCCAGTAGTTTTTCCATGATTTTATACATACTACCCACCAGAGTGACGGGTCTATATTCCCCTAACATTTGTGGATTATCTACTTTGGGTACCAAAGAAATAAAAGAAGTCGATAATGCTTTGGGAAAATTTGATTTTGAGTGAAATTCTGAAACAAACCTATAAATATCATCTTCCAAAGAGGCCCAACACTTACGAATGAATTTGAAGCTGTAACCTTCGGGGCCTGGACATTTGTTTTCATCGAACTCCCACACACATCCCTAATTTCTTCCAACAAAAATGGTTCCTCCAGGTTTCCAGCTTCTGTTTCACTTAAACCTACAAAATGAATACCATATAATCTTGATCTGAGAAGATTATATTCCAAATATTTTTCTTCAAAAAATCTCCTCACTTTTTTCTTCACATCCGCAACATCAGACACCCTACCACGGATTGTATCCACACTACCGATGAAATTGTTCCTTGTTCTCGCCTTTATTACATTATGAAAGAACCTTGTATTGAAGTCACCTTCCCTACACCACTTCCCCTAGACTTTTGCTTGAGCATACTTTTGCATCTCCAAAGATTGTTCCAAAAGGAAACTGCCACACCTGCTCTTTCCTTCGAAATAACGACCCCCTCAGCTTCTAAATCCAACAGCCATTGAGATCCCCCACCACCAAACACATATGCACTTATCTCATTGCAAACATTAATAACTTTGACAACTTCCTCCACGGCCAAATCGACCCACCCAAAGGTTTCCACATTCCACTTACACAAACATAGCTTAAGCGTATGCAATTTTTATTTTATAATGAAAGTAGTATAACCTGTTACCTGCATATCATCCCAAGACTTTGCTACAAAGTCCACAAAGCCAGAGTGCTTCAACCACCCATTTAAGGACCTAAAGGGTTTAGGCCCCCAGTCAAAAAAATTGCAGTTTAGCCACACAAGACTATGATCTGATATATCCTTTTTCCCTATTTCATGATAAACTGTAGATAGAAAAGTAACGAAACCATTTGATATTAGAAATCTATCAATTCTACTCACCACCCCACCTGATCCACACTCCACGAAAAGTTTCTCGCTCCTGTAGGTAAATCCACCAATTCCATGATGCCTATAAAATCATTAAATTCATATGCATCATGTGACCTTTGCAAGCTGCTACTCCCCACTCTTTTAGTAGACATTCTAACTATGTTAAAATCTCCTGCCACGTACCACTCCACATCACTCCATTTAATTCTCAATTTAATCAAATGCTCCCACATAAATATCTTCAATGCTAATTCGCAAGACTAATACACATTAACGAAGTAGTATCTCTTCCCACCATAGTAAGTGCAAATGCCTAAGAAGCCTTCACCAGAGAAGCTGAAAATAAGTGAAAGAATCTTCCTCTTCCACATCATCAGTAACCTGTCAGACCTCCCTCTAGAATCCTCGACGACCAATCGACCTTGCAATTCCCCCAAAAAAAATTCACAATAACCTCTGACATCACATTGAGTTTGGTTTCTTAAATCAAACATAGATCCGCCTTACCTTTCGCTAGACACTCCTTAATCTTCCTCCTCTTTAAAGGATTGCCTCCCCCTCTAATATTGTATGATACTATATTTATTCGGAAGAATTTTTTTTGTCGCCTCCTTACTTCTTTTCCCTTCGCAATCCTTAACCTCATTATCTCGTATTGAATCCATATAAACCCCATCACATTCATCCCCCACAATTCCCAACTCAGAAATGGACTTCCAAAACTTCAGAGTCGCATCCCTCTTTTATACTTCCCAAAATCTCCTATTCCCTTGCTCCAAAGTTGAATCATTGATGGAATCGCAACAATGAGTTTAACCACTAGACACTTGCTGCTTACCTGGCCCATGATCATGAGTTTCCTTTATCTTCAACAGATATTTGGGGACAACAATTGGTAGGGATTGGTTTAAGGGATTAGAGGTTGACTGGATGGAGTCCTCAGAACCATCCAACCCATAAAAGGTTGTATTTACTCTTCTAACATGGGCCTTCTTACCAACTGTTTTTTTGTTAGCCTTGGGCCTGGGCGGAAAGATTGGCCCGACACTAAGCTCTCTTTCAATGGACCACCAATGGACAAGAAACTCCTCTTCTTTTGGCTAATACACTTTAGCTGACACGTACCTTTTCCTATTTCACTTAGTATTATATTCTCCAAACCTGTCCCAACATTAATGGCCTCCTACTCCACATTTATTTCACCTCCTACCAATGGTATTTTAGTACACAAAATTGAGATTTCCAATGACTTTTCAAGGACATGGTTGTGATACAGTGGCAGAACTGACTATTACAGTGGTTTGCGTTTTGTGTTTTTTGTTTGCAAAATGTCGCGGTAAGCAAGAGTCGCCACCGACTTTTATTTCATCCAATCATGGAAAAGGAAAAAGAGCAGAAAAACCTTTTTTCGAGATATTCTGAGTACGAGGGGTAGATTATAGAAAGGGAAGGTGTTAGCACCCTTTCTATCCGTAGTTATCTACGGGCTCTTAGGTACTTGCTCATTTTTCAAATTGCTTGTCTGTGTTTGTCTTGAAAATGTTTTACTTCGTGATAACCCTTGTATCAGTCCTCAAGGATGTGACGAAGTTTGTTTTGAAAATTTGTTTTGAAAGGTGTTTGTGTGAAAAGTTTTTATTGAGCAAGTACTTAAGATTCTACCTACTCGAAAAAAGATTGTTCGTTATCGTTTCCTTTAGACAACACTATCCTACTATTAAGGAGTAGGTATCCCCGTCGTTGGAGTTGTAAGGGACATTCGAAAGGGACAAGTATAATCACTAAAGCAGCAGTTAGAAAACTTTAGTAGTAACCCTAGAGTCTTAAGATCTTTCTGAGGCAACATTTCCGAGGCAACATTCAAATGGGACATTTTGATCTCTTAGACAGGAGGGCAACCACTAAAATATCCTATGCTTAATGACTGTTTTACCGAAGGCAACCGAAGTGAGGTAAACCCTAGGAGTGAAGATGTGCATATGAATTGTTTCAGTTATTTAGTCTTTGCACATTTAGGTGATCTACCGTTTTAATTTCAAGTAATCTTGCCATACAATCCTATTAGTATACATCTAGACAGTTAAATATTTGCAGTAATTTAAAATGCAAAAAAATAAACCTAGCTATTACAAGGCTTTGGCAGTTACATAATTGTCTTGACGGGAAATAAAAGTGCAGAATTTAAAACCCTAATTAAAACTATTACAAACTTGAAACAGGTACAATAATAATAAAACAAATTAAAATGCGCGCGGCAAATTAAATGCGAGAAAAATTGAAAACCCTAACAATCTAATTAAAAAAATATTTAAGTTATTTTTTTGAGAAAAGAATTAATTAAGTTATGTACGACTAAAACCCTAATTATAATTATGAAAAAGAAATTGAAATTAACTTAATCTAAACTAAATTAAATAATTTCAAGAAAATAAAATATTTTACAAAAAAATAAGATTTTGTGTATTTTTGGTGGTTTTTTATTTGAGGAAAGAGATTTAATTGTAAAATTAAAAACCTAGTTTCTATTTATTTTAATTATGAAAAAGAAATTAAATTTACCTAACTTACTAATTATATTAAATAAATATTATAAAAAAGCTCTTTTTTATAATTTGTTGATTTTATGAAAAATAATAATAATTTTTGGTGTTAATTAATTAAAACAAATAAAGAAAATAATTAAAGAAATTAAAAAAGAAAATAGAAAGAAACTACAAACTGGGCCTGAATAATGAGTAATCTGGGGGGTGCAAAATCTAGATTTTCTTGGCACAAAAACGCTGAGCATAGTCAATATGCCTGATCCCATGGAGTGCTGGCTTAAGGGTGTATCATAGTCCCTCGCTGCTAGAGCGTACATCTGGCTAGGTGATAGAACCATTGGTTGGCTATTGAAAGTGCACGGTAGGCCCTTTGATAAGAATTACATGCAATCTATGTACAGAAAATAAGAAAATAGGCGTTGTTGGAACCTGGGATCGAACCCAGGTCCTTATATTTACCAACCACCTGCCTTGCCAGCTGTGTTAGTATGACTTGTTGTTAATACAATAAAAACAAAATATGATATAAAGAAAACAAATGGCCAAACTCCACACGCGCGAATTTTCAAATGGGCGAATGGATGATTGCCACGCCATCTTCTCTTTCCCCAAGACTGTCGCTTTTGACATTGACCCTTTACCTACGGACAAACTCGTCAATATAGGCTATAGTGACGGTTTCTTATGCGTGGCTAAAACCTGCAAATATCTTAAAACGAAATTCAAGTAACCTAAACTCCATTCAAGGGCATGAATCAACTGTATTTCATCCCCTGAACATGAAGAGACCCTTAATTTGGCCCAATTTTGCCTCTAGCTAGGGTTCCCCAATTTGGAGTTCACGAACCCTAAATATGGAAAATAGTTATTCCTGCATCAAAACTCAAATCCAGGCTATCAAAAAGCTTCCTAGCATGATCCTAAATATGTATATGAAAGCAAATTGGATTAAGAATGCATAAAACTAGAGGAACAAGTTTGAGTTCAGAGGATTCAAACCGTGATGTATAGCTAGTGATTCTGGTGGTTTGATGACTTGGGAATGATTGGAATAGCTTCTATGCACGCCCAGGAAGAGATTGCTAGCTTCAAATTTCCTTGAATCGCCCTATAGACTTAAAACCGAATCCCACTTTTTACAAGAAATCCACATTTTGTTTGATGCTTTTCACGACTGCCAAACCTTGTTTTATGCTTTGTTCTTGTCCATTGTATATTCCTCAATGAATTAGGGTTGCAAAACAGATTGGATCTTGAAGTTTTGATGAGATTTAATTTGATTCTTTAGCCATATGCAAACTTGCTATTTTGAGCCAAATCATCCCTTTCTTGTACCAATTAAGTTTGACTCGTTTTGTCCTTGATAATTTAGCATATTTTGATTGCCAACCTGTCCAAAAACCAAACCAAATCAAATCATATCTTTGTTATTATTCATCAATTATTTAATTTAATTCAATTTTTAATTAATAAAAATTCAAGATAAATTGAAAAATGAAGCAAATAATATGTGGAAGTTATGCTTGGTCAAAGTTTGGTTGACTTTTACTGAGAAACCCTAATTTAGCAACTTTTGGGTTTTGATGAATTTGGAGCATTCCTTGGGGAATAATGATCAACCCTTGATCAAATGATGAAAGTCACTTCAAAATGTTAATTTTGACCAAAAATCTTGAAGTTTGACTGTATGTGGGTCACAGTTGACTTTTGACCTAATACAGTAGATTCTCAAGCATCTGAGCAGTTGACTGAGCAAACTTCTTGTACAAGGCATGAAACTTGACATGTAGGGTCTTGAGAACATATTAGGAACAAGGAGAGCATATGAGGTCTTTGGAGTCCATCCATCTTGATGAAAATGGAAACCCTAATTTTAGGTACACTGCCTTAGGAGAGAGTTTGTCTGGTCAACTCTTGGGCAACCTTGAGCAAATTGAAGATCTTAATGGACATGTATTGTGTAAAATGAGAGGGCAAATTTTGGGGTACAACAGTTGCCCCTGTTCAATCTTCTTAAACCCGAGGATGTAGATTGGCTAGCCTGCCTTTCGTAATCTAAAGGTGGAAGATGATTGAACACTAGAGTGCCCAGAAATTTGCATCCTGAACTGGCGCTTGATTTGTGATATTGGGAATGGGATTACAGATGCCATTCAGAAGTTGATGATAGAAGATTGTCGGAGATGGGCTTAAAGATGCCATCCTGGGTGTGACGGCGAATTATCGGAGATGGCCTTGGAGATGCCATCTAAAGGATGTTGATTTCCTGAGACATTCCTTCGATGAGAGTTCCTGTTACTATTATTGACGAGGAATCTGCTGAGGAACGTTGGTGAAATAAAATTTTAGGAGCTTCAGTTGTCCGTTACTCTACTGGGGAAATAACTCCGACTTGAGGAAGCAGAAGTGAACTGTATATCTGGTCAGGGTATCTGCTGCACCGCGACTTACTGGGGAAATACGAAACCAATTATGTTTGATCAGGTCCCGGTCTTACAGTGTTGTGAACTATTGTCTGGAGATAAGAGAGAAGGAACCTGGATAGTAGGGTTACTTTGATATGAAAGCCTGGATAGTAGGGTTGTGAGAAGGAAGCTGGATAGTAGGGT